TGGTCGATCGTATTGCCCCCGTTATTCCCAAGCACGCCAATCTTTACACCAGGTTTAGTTTGAGCTGTTGTTTGTAATACCATACTCCACCATGCCTATGTAATTGACGGTCTTACAACCGTTGTATAGAGCCAATGCTTCATACCAGGCATTAGTCCCCAGGATTTGCCACAGGTAAATCTAATTACCGTTAGGGTAATTTTCGAATACCGTTTTATTTTATCAATGTGCTGGTTCTAGGTAAATTTGGAGTCATAATTCTAAGACACCTTACCCCTAGACATTGTTATTTCTTCACCTAGCAGTTTTAGTGGTATTAGACCCTAGGTTTCTTCTCCTAGTGAATGGAATTACGGTGATTTTTTTGGGGACTTGTCTTGAGTCCCTCGTTCACCCACTCCTTAGTGACGTTTAGGGCTATTTGTATTAGTTCCCCAACCGTGCTGTTAAATTTACGATGACTATATCGTCAACATAGCCTTGGACGGTAAATCATTTCTGCTAAGTGTCTCGAAAAGCTTGTCTACTTCCAGACTCCACAAGGAAGGGGAAAGCACCCTCTTCCCTCCTGTGGGCACCCTTTCACCACTTGAGGTCCCTTAGGTATAGGCATTTTACAACAAATCAGCTGTCTTCTCCGCTCCCGTGTTTCGTGATGTGTTGTTTCGGTTTCTTCGTAAAAATTTACGTTGATGATGTATCCTGCTTAACCAACAATCCCATGAAAGTATAGCTAATCGATTTTCAAGTCATCATTCCACACCGCCAACTTAAAACAGTCTGATAAAATACTTGTTTAATTGAGTTCAATTGTGTTTTTTCACCATGTTTCACATTTAAAATCAGGTTAAAGAAATTTCGTTTCATTATATTTCGAAACGTTTTATTCCATCCTGTCCGTGGCCTTTTAAATAACAAGGGGACATTTTTGTTTGTACATAAATAGTATTATTGCACTTATTATTATTAAAACAAATATTCCATTATATTCAAATATTAATAACGGAATTCCCTAACCAGCCTCATCCCCATAACACTAGTATATTAAACAAATCTTGTAGAAAAAAGCTAAGCAGTTTATCCATCTAGAAGTTGAACTACCCCTGTTGGAGGAAGTTCACTTTCCCGAAGAAAAAAATATCAACTGAGCAAGAAAATAATGAAAAGGAATCCAGTAAAAAAGAAAAAGATCAACCCGAAGAAATGATTTCAAAAACGAAACCTGGTAAAGGTAAAAAATCACCATATGCATTGCCAAGTGAATACCATCCATCTGCTGAGAAAAACAATTTTAATTTCAAAACTACAAGAGTGGCTTGGAACAAAATTATTAAATTTCCTCCAGTACTTATTGAATCACCTGAGAGTAACCTTGTTAGTATTCGAGACACATTTAAAACCAGCGTAAATGTTCGAGTAGTATACCTCAAGGTAAAAATAAAAAATGTATTTCTCCATACCAATAAATGTTGGAATTCTAATTATTAGGATGATGTCCATAAAACTATTTTTATTCGATTGTACTGAAAGTAACTTTTTTTAGGTTCGAATATCTGGAGAAAAAGATCACCATTATTATAATAGGTATTATTTTTTGTTGTGGTTGCTAGGCGACTACTTTTCAGACTGTAAACAATTATTATGAACAAAATAATGGATACCATAAATAAATGAAACAAACTGTTATGGTATTCTTATTAGATTTTGTCAAAGTAACGTGAAATAGATTACGATCAGATTCAAATAAAATAAATATAATAAATAAAAACTTATTATTTTCTTCATACAATCGAATAAAAAATAATGTATGACATACGGACGAAAATGTTTTTCGTATTAATTCAGTTGAATCGTTATCTTACAAAAAACTGCATTTGTTGTCCTTGTGCCATGACAGTTATTTATGACACAAGGACGAAAATGCAGTTATTCGTAAGATTACGAAAAATTGCCAGATGAGGCGAAACCGAGTTTGGCAACCATATGAATACGAAAAAACATTTTCGCTCGTGTATCATACACTATTTTTTTTTCGATTGTAAGAAGAAAATAATAATATTTCATTTATTATATTTATTTCAATTTAAAAAATCTGATCGTAATTGACTTCACACATCACGTTGACACAATCTAAAAAGAATGTCATGACAGTTTGTTTCATTTGTTTATGGTATAGGCCTTTTCACAGATTTTTTTTTATTGCTTTGTGTGATAGTGTTTTGTAAAAAAAACTTGCCGTATTTTTTTTCTTTTTTTTGAGCACGATTTCTATCGAAAAAAAAATAACAAAAGTGCGGAAATAAAACGCGCGCTTTTACGTGACGTTACGCAACCCACGTTAGTAACGTCAAAGGGACTACGACCTTGAACATGACACATCGGTGTATTGCAAAGTTGGTTCTCTGCTTTTTGACAGTTGACGTCGAAATTGACTTTGACAGTCGTTTCTTTTTAGTTTGGATTGTTGTGTGTGGAACAGTGGAACATGTTTAAAAAAGTGCTTTGTACCAACATGTACAAATAACAACATGAATTGTCCAATCAAAATTTTCTTTTACGTTCCACCAGATGAAAATAGACGCCAAGCATGGTTTAAAATAGCGAAAGTTGAGAAGCAGTTGACGAAAACCAGAAACATTTACTGTTGTGAAGATCATTTTGATGTAAGAAAAGTAGTTGTATTTAGAAATTGATGCTAAATTATTGAAATTTTACAGTTAAAAGAAGATTCAGAAAACTGGTGTTACTATAAAACCATTGGTTCCAAACTTATTGCAACAATTGCATGTTAAAATAATAGTAGTTCCATTATATTTATAAATAAATTACACGAAAATAAGATTACTAATGATTTGCCGTTTTGTTTTATTATTCCTGACTTCTGCTGATAAATAATCCAAATTTGACATGTAAAACTCGTCCACCATAATAAAGTCAACTTTCGGCAGATTTTCTGCATTTCCTTTAGAAAATCCTGGCTCCATTTTCTTCCAATAATGTGCAGAAACAAATTCGTAAATGAACACACAGAACATAACCACAAAACTAACCGTAAACAATGTAAAATGTGTCAGTTGTGGTGTGATGTTAGTAGTATTAGGCGTTCTGGCAAATGCTACCAACATGATTCCCGTCTGTGTGACGTCACTCAGCTTCAAGGTCAAATGAGTGTTCAAATTGCCATTATAAATGTTTATTTTTTTATTAAACAATGGGAGACTTATATTTCAAAGTGAGTTGCACAAGGTGAATATCTATCAGTTAGCTTTCAAATAAACATATTTGTTTTGAGATTTAAGAAGTAGTGAAAAGGCCCATTGTTTACCATATGAAAAGACAATTATTCTTCGTCCTTGGACGAGAAGTCGCTTAGCAACCACAACAAAATAATATCTGTTATAAAAAGGTGATATTTTCGTCCAGATATTCGAACCAGAAACATCACTTTTGAATACAATCGAATAAAAATAACTATTTTCTTCAAGCGTATAACAATACTTTCATTATATATTGCAACACGTCCTGAAGAAAGAGCCTATTTTTGTACTAATACTAATATTTTAAATTTTTTTCCTAGGACAAAAATGAAACAATGTACACTGCTATGCAAAAGTAAGTAGGACAGTGACAGTAGTGGTGTAATATACAGGGTGTTCCTAAATACCATGTACATACGCAAGGGGCAATTTTTTGGCTTATTTCATGAATAAAAGTTTATATAAACATAGGTCCGCAAACGCTTCTTTACTGATCTACAGGGTGTTGAAATTTGAAGATTTTTTTCCTTTATAGCTCCTGCAGTTTTTAAGATATTTAGCTCAAATTTGGAACATAAGTTACGCTGTAGGGCTTACATCCTTGGGCATGCCAAATGGTTGTGAGAATCTACAGGGAGATTTTTTTAAAGGGGTCATGCCCCATTTTCTCCCTCTGAACTTTTTTCGATGCGCCGCTGGTAGATTCAAAAATACAATATGAATTTTCTGTTTTATTTAGAAACTTTTTAGTCTCTTGTAGTTTTTCCGTATGTGCGACCGTTACCGAGAAAAAAATAAAGAATCAAGTTTCAGTAAAGAAGCGTTTGCGGACCTATGTTTATATAAACTTTCAGTCATGAAATAAGCCAAAGAATTACCCCCTTGCGTATATACATGATATTTAGGAACACCCTGTATCTGCTTTTCTACGCATATAATTTACTAATTGCTTATCGTATTCAACCATCATTTATCCTCCGTCTCCCAGTTAAAGGCCTTCTTTTAATACTCCTTTCTTCTTATTTCGCTTTTTAACTCTTATAGGTAACAGTAATAAGTGCTGCTCTACTTAGTTTTGCACAACAGTGTACCTATTATACAACGAGTTAAAAATCCAAGTAGCTATGACTTGTCATAACTGTCAGTTTTAAATTTCACGTCGGGTCGGTTTTCAAATTTAAAAACAAAAATGTCTAAAGAAATGCAGTTTACACCACCTGAATTACTTAAAATTGCAAATTCATCAGTGGCAACATTAATTCCCGCGAAATCCAAAAAAGTTAACGATAATGCGTACGATAAATTTATAAAATGGGCCAAGGACAACAACGTACATATGTATTCGGAAAATGTGATGATAGCATATTTTACACATTTATCCAAAAAAATGAAAAGTTCAACTCTATGGGCGCTATATTCAGTGGTAAAATCTAAATTAAACATCGAACACAATGTAAAAATTGACAACTATTCTAAATTAATTGCCTTTTTAAAGCAACAAGGCGAAAATTATAAACCTAAAAAGTCAAAAGTTTTATCTAAAGAAGATTTTGATGAATTCCTTAATAAAGCACTTAATGATAAACATTTAGCAACAAAGGTATGTACGCATTTTAAAACTATATATTTAACCCTTTCATATCTGTAATATAAAATTTTGTTATAATTTGTGAAATTCCAGTTATTTTATATCTATCCGTTATGAAAATAATAGAGGAAAAGAATTGAATGCATTGATTAAGTTCGGGTATAGCTCAGTGGTCAAAGTGTTGGACTCGTAATTTGAAGGCCCGGGTTCGAGTCCTGTATTTTTTTTTGTTGCTATTTCTAACATTATTTTACTTTTATATAGTATATTTTTCAGGTTGTACTAATATTTGGAGTCACAGAAGCTTGTAGATGCGATGAACTTGTTCATATAAAAGTTAATGATATAAGAGATTTGGGAGATTTAATCTTAGTAAATATTCCCAACACAAAAACTAAAAACATGGCTTATTTACTATAATTGGAGATTTTTATTTAAATTTATACACAAAATATGTTACTCTTATACATATGTTTAATTTATAAATAAAGTGGTTAGTACGATGTTATGCTTATAATTAATAAATAAAATGGTTAGTCTTATCAATAATTTATTTTTTTGCCAAAATTGAACATATTTGATGTCATTTTTCAAAATTAAAGTTGCAATTTTTTTTATTTTGACGCTTGAAGAAAAAATAGTATATGTCATTTGGAATAGAAGGCACATTATATGTTTCGCCCAGTTGCTCAGCCTCGGCTGAGCAAACTTCTGGGCTCAACATGTAATGTTCGCCTTCTCCTCCTAGTAACATAATATACTATTTTACCAATTAGGTAAAAAGTATAAAATTTGCTTTTTAATTTATAAAGCTATATTTTTGCGAGAATTAATACAAATGGACTCTATTAGTTGTGTCACATAATTATGCAACCTACGTACTACTCTCATGACACACCGGTTGCCTATACATCACACTGGAACTTGACCCTTAATGCATATGTCTATAAAGGTGACATTTTCGAGTATTTTACACAGCGTAGAATTTTATTTTATTTCTTCCTTGGAGGAAATATTTAAGAACTTTCAGTAACTAATTTACACAAAAAGGACATGTTTCATTATGTACAATGTTCAACACATCAGAAAAACTCTAATATTGATTTAATACACACCTACGGTTGTGAACTAAGACTTATCCGATCTTATTATCGGAAAGAACCCTGATTCCGAGCATTTCCAACTCGAGAGTTCATCATTGAATTATTCTTAAGGTAAATTTTAAAATTTCGCTACCTAGAGAAAAAATCCCCAACAAAGTTTAATTTTCGTAAAAAAATCTGTGAAGTTCAAATCTTCAACAAATTTTGACAGAAAATGTTTTGGTTAGAATATTAAAATCTCCAGTTGAAATCAACGAAAAAGTTTTTCATTAAAAATCTTTTTGCTCGTCTTTTTGAGGTTTGACAGCCTAACTTAATTTTTCGATATTTAAGCAAATCATTCTACATCTACTTCCATCTGTCATAAGAATAAGAAAGTGGAAAATTTTTAAAATAAGACACAAATAAAATGTTTTGTATTAACGAAATAAATAATATTTCTCTCTAGGTATTACCTCCCCAAAAAGAAAAAAAGAGTTCCAAAAAAGACAAAAAGAAGTCAAAAAAAGACCAAAAATCTGATAAAAAGAAAGGGAAATCTGAAAAAGGTGATGAAAAAACGGAGCCAGTTCCAAAAGAAAAACCTCAGGAAGTTATTCAGAAAAAAGTTACTTTATGCAGCTTCCTTTGTGATTTAAAACCTGTAAATTGGAGTGATGAAACTATTGATTTTTATTGGGCCGATCATAAATTAATTACTGGTAAAGCACTGGAAGTCGATGGTTGTCTAAAGGTATAAATATACATGGATATTTTTCATATTTAACGTTTTAAAATGTACTTATATTATGTTTAAATGCAGACAGATTACGGTGTAAAAATATTAGATCTACAATAATTATTAAGAATGTAATTGGTGATGAGATCACATTCGATGTTATAGATGTGTTGCTAAATTGCCAGACGAATAATGATCTAAACGATCGCAGTCAACAACCTGAGACACATACAGACAGATGTATTACTACAAGCTTTCAATAAGATCCATTTCAATTTTAACACGCTTTTATTAGCTTCACTTGTATGTTTGTTTGTTTGTTAGTTTGTTTGTTTGTTTGTAACCGCCTCTTTGGACTCGATTTTGACCCACTTTAAACGGACAGATTTGAAACTTTGTACACTTACGAAGAACCGGTAACAATACAATAATTTGATAAGTTTATATTATTATCCTAATCAGGATCGTCAGTCTTTTCCTCACGTATCCTCTGCGTGAGAGCAAGAGGCTTAATATTGTAAGTATATTCTATGATTCTTAGTTCGGTCATTGGCCGAGCGGGCAAGTCTTAGTCGACGCGATACGACGGACTCCTCGGGCGTGAGTTCAAATCCCATGGCTGAAATAAAAAATTTTTTTTTTTTCAGAAATATCTGTTGGATCGTAATATGTTATAATATCAGCATCAATAAGCAATATAAATATAGTTCAAAAAAACTACAAAACACGCTTTCATAGCACATCAAACTAAAAAGTGAAAAATAAATATAGTTTAAAAAAACTAAAAAACACGCTTTTAAAGCACATCAAACTAAAAAAGTGAAAAATAATTATTAATATAAACTGAAAACAATAATGAACGAAAAATACTAGTATTATTGTGAAAAAAGCGAGGGGCGCTTTGTGTCATATTTTTCGTATATCGAGCAACCCACGCTTTTTTCACAATAATACTAGTATTTTTCGTTCATTATTGTTTTCAGTTTATATTAATAATTATTTTTCACTTTTTAGTTTGATGTGCTTTAAAAGCGTGTTTTTTTTAGTTTTTTTAAACTATATTTATTAGAATAGACTTCTATAATAATGAAAGTTTAGTTGTATTTCATTGTATTAATTATTTTACATTATTAAATCATTATTTTTAAAATAATTAAAAATATATACTTGTAGTCTTTGAAATTTGTCAGAAAAATAGTTACAATAGTTAGATAACAACAAATAATGACCTGTAAAAGTGGTTTAGAACTTTATCATAAAAGTGTGGTTGGAATTAAAAAATAGTTAAAAGTATCTAGAATAGATTTCTCTAAAAACGATCGAAATTTAATAGGAAACGTCCCATGGGTTAATAAACATAGAGCTAGATGTTTCATATCTTTATAAAATTTTACCAAATGTTGTTGCTAACTATTGATGACAAACTAGACAGTATCGTCTAAGTTAAATAGGCGTAATTAGTTCAAATCAAAAGTATTACTGGTTGCAGTGTTGGAGCAAGGTTATAACTTAAATAGGTAAAATCAGGAGTAAATATACACCCAGTCAAATTATATAGTCATTAGGAATATTAGTATAATCAGAGTAAATAGTAAACATAAACATTTGTCATATCATTTATAAATATTTTGTGCCCTTTTTGTAGATATACGTCATCCAAATTTTATAATAAATACCCATTAGACATTAAGTTAAGCATTCATTGTATTTAGTATATTTGTGGCCGAAGGCTATGTACAAGAATCAATTGAATAATTTGTGAAACTAGTAATTAAATTTCTTTTTAAAAACCAAGTTTTTCATCTGTTTAATTTAATTGGCGCTGCGAACAGGATAGTGCTACGTTGAAGAAATCATCAAGATTCACTGCAACGGAGAATTTCAATTCCTTAAGCACTATCAAAAGAAGGCTTTGTTCATTTATTGGACATCTGGAAGAAAAATCAACCACGGATCATTTCAACCAGAGCGACTCAACTGAGAGTACGAGAAGAAATTCTACAAACAGAAGATTCATGGGAAAAGTAATATACTTCATCCTCACCTTCCTGTTACCTCATATTTAATCCATTAGTCTTAAGAGCCCAACGAAATAAGTTAGAATTTTTCTTTTTACTTATATTCAATATCAAATGCTTATAATTAATGAGTAACAAAGTAATTGTAGAAATAATAGAAAATAAAGGTCATTATTTTCAACCACATCCAAAAAAAACAAAATAACTTAAAATTAATACCTGAAACAAAAAATTCTGACATTGAACAATAATTAGAAAACACAATTTTAAATCCCTTAGATTTAAACATGAATATCTCAACTAACGAAATATCAGAACTATTAACAACTCCACTGCCACTTTTCATTGCCAAGGTAGGAAGTACATTAGAAATATTACAAACATTCACTCTAACACCTTTTCAAAATGCATTTATCAAACAGAGCATATTAGGTAAAATAAAAAGGCCAAGCTGCTACAAATATATTTTTAGAAAATACCTCCGATTGGCTTCATATTAAACAAGCTCTAATTAAATACTATGGCGACCACAGGGACGAAAGTCTTTTAAATTCAAACCTCAAACAAACTAGGCAACTATCAAACGAAACAACTTTACAATTCTATCATAAAATCATTGAAGCTCAAAACGCTTTGATACAATTTGCTCAATTGCACTTAGATAATGCCGAAATTCTTACATACGAAATTAATAAGATCAAATTAACCAGCTTAGAACAATTTAAAATAGGAATTAGAGAACCCTATCGCACTATACTTTCATATGTACCCCCTGGAACTTTACAAGAAGCTTTATTAAAATGCCACGAGCATGATAACAGTCAGACAGCTCTCCGTCAGCTACACAATTTTCAGAATCAAAAATCCAATACTTCTATAAAAAATAACTCACCACAGCAAAATTTTAGAAGAGCCACACATGAGTCCGCTTCACCTAATCATACTTTCATACCAAAACAAAATTTAATTAACCAACCTCCATATAGACTTTTTTGGGGATACAAATAAACCCCCAATACCTCGACAATATTTTCCAACAAATAATCAAGTCTTTGGAAATCTCAGGCCCTCATATTCTGGCCAAATGAAGCAAAGTGTTCAACACAGTTATAAACCCACTCCTATGTTTATTCAATCTGCGAATCCTCATCCGCCGAGTAAACAATTTACTCAGCCAAAAAAAAATTTTGTTTCGCGAGAAATTCACAACGTCGAAATTAACGACGATTCACCAGAAAATCAATTTTTAGAACAAGACCCCTATCACTATCACGACACAGGTTCGTACGATTATAACGAATACCCTGTATATGAACAAACTGAAATTCCCGAAGAAAATTTTCCAGAAAACTGCCTCGAACCCGCCTCCGTTGATTTAAATAACTTAAACCAT